GCCAGGGAACCTTCCCCATAGGCAACCTGTCATCTAGAACTTTACTATCTTCTCACGCCAGGGAACCTTCCCCATAGGCAACCTGTCATCTAGAATTTTACTCTATCTTCTCACGTTAGGGAACCTTCCCCATAGGCAACCTGTCATCTAGAACTTTACTCTATTTTCTCACGCCAGGGAACCTTCCCCATAGGCAACCTGTCATCTAGAATTTTACTCTATTTTCTCACGCTAGGGAACCTTCCCCATAGGCAACCTGCCATCTAGAACTTTACTCTATCTTCTCACGCCAGGGAACCTTCCCCATAGGCAACCTGTCATCTAGAATTTTACTCTATTTTCTCACGCTAGGGAACCTTCCCCATAAGCAACCCTGTCTTTTAGAATTTTACTGTTTTCTCAGGAGAGTCATACAGCCAGATGAAAGGTTCAGAAAAAAAAGTCACTTGGATGGGTACTCCAGAAGTGAAGATAAAGTGAACAGCCTGGGTGACTAGATGGCAGTAAGTAACAGTCCAGGCAGAATTGGAACTCAACTACCTCAGTAGGTGAGTGTGTGTGTGTGCATATGCGCACACGTGTGTATACATGTGCATTGTGTGTATGCGTGTGTGCAAGCACGTGTGTAAGAATGTGAGCATGTGCACGCGTGTATGTGAGTGTATTGTGTGTATATGTATGTGCACACATGTGAATGTGAGTGCATTGTGTGTATGTGTGAGTATATTGTGTTTGAGTGTGCATGCAGGTGTGTATATGTGTATTGTGTGTGTGTATGTGTGAATGCATGTGCATGTGAAAGTGGGTGTCTGAGTGTTTATGAAGTGTGTCTGTGAGGGAGTACATGTGATAGAACCTACAACAGGAGTTATTGAAATGGCGCCTGTGGCAGAGGAAAGGAAAGCACAGGGCTTGTACTGCCAGTGACTGGCTAGACGCGGTGCTTATCACCACCAAAAGAGATCAGGAGAAGCCAATCTGGGGCTAGGGAGGAAGATGGTGTGGTCTAGGTTTGGCTCAAGTGCTGCCTGGAGCCAGCAGCAGGCAGATGTCCTTCTGGGAGACATCAGTAAAGAGCCAGGGAGGGAGGAAACAGATCCAGAAAAGAGGCGAAGGTCACTAGTCTGGATCAGGTCTCCACCAGGCCACGCAGGAGAGGCTGAGAGTGAGAAACCAGACCAGTAGGAGGGCGAGGTGACGGTGGTGCTAACCATAAAACCCAGGGGAACGACCTGTCAGTGGTTAAACGTCTTCAAGATCAATGCACGCGGCACACTAGGTGTACGGGGTGGACGGGGACAGGGCTCAGCCACAGGGCTAGGACAGAGGGTACCACTGACCTCGGCCGATGGCCGTCTCGGGGTTCCCTCAGTTTATCCCCTTCCTGCACCAGGCTGTGAGTTCCACAGGGCACGGATGGCACTGGCTGCCTCACTGCAGTCTTGGGAACTAGACTACCTCCTGGAGCAGTTAACAGTGCTCAAAAAACACTCCTTGACTTAAAGAGCGCAGGCTGTCTTTGGCCACCTGCTCTAGAGCCGTTTCAGCAGATAGAGAGATGGAAGTTAGGAGTGAGGTGGAGAGGCAGGAACAAGGGTGACCCAGAAAAGGAAGAGAAACGGAAGGGGAACTAGCTAGGAATAAATCCCAAATCCAGAAAAGGCCATCTTTCTCTAAGTTGATAAAAATATTTAAGCACGTTTTCTACCGTGGGAACAAAATGGATTCTAAAAACAGGCGATGCTATGGAAAGACAAGACAGAACAGCAGATTAGGTCTCTTGAAGAAGGAAAGGAACGAAGGTGCCAGCAGAAGGGGAGACAGGCCTTGGACATCCGTCTCCTCTAGAGCCAGCCACACCTGTAGCTTCAGGAGCTCTGTGGGGTTTGGTTTCAGGGATGACATGACATGACTGCTGCACTGGGCACAGCTCTCAAGGTCGGGCAGTTCAGCCAGACCGCCGCCAAGTACACCCAGGTGACCTTGGGACGTCAGCCACGCTCCCCTTCCTTCCATTCCCACACCATCAGGTTCTGAGGAACTCCTGGGAGATGCGGCACGGGGTGAAAGGACTGACTGAGCTCCCACACGCAGGATGCCCAGACGACGGGCAGACGGGCAGTACAGAAGGCGTCTATCACTACGGCAGCCACTGCACGTCTCTGTTCTACGCTGCCCCTTCCCACCCCTCACCTTAGCCCAGGCCAGCCTGTCTAAGGCAGAATATTCATCTTCTCTGGACACGTCTGTATCACAGTGTGGTGACTATTACTGGCTCACCCCACTAAGTTTCACATTTCATTATATTTTAGAGCTGAGAAGAAACGTAGAGATGAATGAATTTAGCCTTTTCATTACACAGAGAAAACAAAAGGGATTTCCATGCTTTACCTGGTGAGGTAACGAACAGTCACAAACACTCTTAGGAACAGCCCAGTTCTAGTCCCCGGTGATGGTACGGTGCGGCTGGTGCTTTATTTGTTTCTATGACCCAGACCTGCTTGTGCCACTCTGCAGAGTGAGCCGCAAACTCTCCCGTGTGTGAGCAACACCGACTACACTGACCCTCCAAAGCCGAGCCTTGTCCACCCCGTGCCGCCTCGTCTCTTCTCCTGGAGCCCCTGCCTATCTGACCCACTGCCCTTCCCAGGCTGTAAGGTCTGTTTGGATTCCACACTTCAGTTTCTCTTCAATGACACACCATGTTCACGTCACAGACTTATCCAAAATTGCTATTTCTAGTTCTTCAATTTATAAGGACCGTATAACTTACACATGATATATAATCCTGTATAACATATAATTTCCTCCATCCATTCTTTTTCCAGACATCTCTATGTGTTATCAAGGCCTGAGCAATACTCACGTGATGGGCACGTCTTTGTACTGCGGCTGCTGCGGCACACTACTTCCTTCCAAAGGAATCTGGGTCACTGTGGGCATGGACTTGTTTACAAGCACCTGTTTGTTTTCTACTTTCTCACCTGAGGAAAAGAAGAGAGCACCAGACAGACTTTGTGTATTAGAATGCAAGGCTGCTGGGCACAAAGCCATGGACAGACTTGGTTTATGAAATCTAGACATGGAAGAAAGACACAGGCCATCCTGGTGGGAAGTCAAGTTCAGTAGTGCTCAGAGGTAGGTTTGTAAAGAAAAAACCAGATGGAAATTATGAAACATTGACTAAGGACCACATATCAGTGAAACCCCACCTCTACCCACAAGAGGCTGTCTTAAGAGACCACACAACAAAGGAGCACCACCCCAGCCAACAGCATCAGAACAGACTGGGAGCACTTGTTACCTCTAGACATTTCAGTCAGAACCAAGGTACCACCAGCTTACCATGGGAAGGAAGGAAAAATATCTCTGGTTTTGCTCTTTCTGTTCTAAGGACCAGCTACTGAAACAACCATCCTCATGCTTATTTTCAAAGCCACAGTGAGCAGTGTTAACACTTGACAGAAATTTCCCAGAAACAAAGGTAGACAGACTAAAGGGGACTCCCACCTGTGTGGCTTGGGGGGAATCCTAGCTCCGTGTAGGACTGTCCACCCAGGGCTCAACGATGACTAGGCTGTGTGGAAGGTGACTGTCCCTGTGTGCTACACAGCCCTACTACGCTCTCTTCCCTTCAGATAACCTCAGCTATCACACACACAGACCCTCACACAGCTTTAGAAACCACTTTTCCATCTCTCTTTAGCAGATACTCTTCCCGTCTGCATTTCCTTAGAGGCTCTGCAGATCTTCCACACTAGGGTGAATCCTCTTGCCACACAATGGCATCACAGTTATCTCTATGATTGATTCCTTACACCAGCTGTAACCCGACACCTCGTGTGATCCGATGATCAATGTCAGCCTTCTACACTAGCCTGTAGAACCGAAGGCAAGGGCTGTGTGCTGTACAAACAAATTCATTACACATTTGCAATTATAATGAGTCATTTCTTTTAGGGAAAGAAGAGTCCAAAGTCAGACCATAAACAAAATGCATATATTAAGAAATACCAGCATAGATAACAGAGTCAAGACCTTATTCAAAACATTGTTTCAAGTTTGGCTTTTCTATAATTTAAGATTAGCCTAGAATACATTTTTGCTACGGGAAAACATACATAATACACAGGAAGACAGACAGAAAAGAGACTCATTGAAAATAACCACACTAGCTGAATATTATGAACACTTCAGAAATATTGTTAAATAACTCTCACAGTCTCACAAGTATACCCTGAAATTCATTATTCTTTAAGGGTTTTTACCTGGAGAACAAATGCCATCTGCATCTAAGATTTCATGTCGCCAGATGGGTTTTCTGGTAGCAGCATCCAACATGGGACCCATCACCTTATCAAAAGTCTGATTGGTGTATCGCTTCAATGTGCACTTAGCATTTTTATACACAAGACAACGCCCAAAACCTGAAAGGAAACTCCAAATGGGTCAGAATAGCTGGTAATATGAAACTATGACAAAACATGGATTTATGGTATTCAATAAGCCACTTCTTCACCTCACAGTTCCAAAGACAAAATGAAAAACCAAACCTCAAACTATTTTACTGTTGGTAAATCTAGAACTGGCAAAAACCAAGTAACAATCCAAAGAATGGCTCACACTCCTCTGCCACTTATGTATACAGACACCGTGGTTTCGACTCCCACTTTCCAGCTGCAATCCACTAGATCATACTGGAGGAAGTGACACAGGCCTCAGAATACCAGGCTTTCAAAGGGCCTTAGGAACCACCTGGGCCATCCTGTTCTGTTACAGGCCTTCTGAGTGAGGCCAGGAAACTGAACACCCTCAGTCACCCAGGAAGTTGGGAGCACATCTGGAAACTCTTAAGTCAGGATGCTCAGCACAAACACGCTCTGTACAATTTCTACTAAGCCTTTCTTAAAGGTCTTCCCTTCTTTGATTCTGGCATTCATGGTTAGTCCTAAGCCAGCAAGTAAAATAATATTTATTTTTGCAGAAAGGGAAACACATCAGCTCCCTGCCTCCTGTCTTTTAAACGTTGAGGGTGACTGTGGGATGAAAAAGAGTGTAAGGTATATAGAGTCATTTGGAAGTCTCTGGGTGGTTCCCATCATCATGGCTCCTAGTGACCTGTGCAGTACAGTAAACTCAGCTCAGAGAGCCAGCTGCTCTGTGAATACTGCATGATCTGAAACTGTGATACAACAGCCATTAACAGCGACATGCTGCAGTGCATGTGAATCCAAACTGCACAAACTCATCATGTGGTTTCTTCTAAACATAAATGGACATTTTATTTATAGGCAGAAGCTTAAAAGCTAACGGAGGGTAAAGTTGGATCATTAAATTGTGGTTCTGAATTTCTGATAGACATGACAAAGTCTTCAGATTTCCACATCAACGTTACCAGCTAATCAGAAAGGAAAATATCTAGTTCTAAAGCATGGCTGTTGTCATTGGAGGAAAAAAGGGGCATAAATTCAGTGCGGCTAACATTAATGCCAGTGACACATATCTAGGAGTACTATTATGGCTGCCTAGCAACTAGGGAGAGGGAAGGGAGGCATTGTGAGTATGCCAGGGAGGGAAGGAACTGGAGGCTGAATAGAGAAGTCAGCCTGTAGACCAGGTGGTGCTCATTAGGGCAGGCAGTGCTGACCCGCGAGAGCAACACGTTAAAAGGAGCAAAGAAGAAAAGCACAAAAACTACGCAGTAAGGATAATGTACATTCCTAGCTTTTGACATTTGGCTAACAAATGTATCATAGACTTGGGGTTAAACTGTATAGTAATAGCCTTTTCCATCTGCCCTCTCAACACAGGCTTACTGTTGCATATATTAACAGATATATTAGAAACACACAAAATGAAACTTAGTTCATGCACTGTTTAATTCCTGGTAGAAAAAAAAAATCTCATTTATTTTTCTCTTTGAGAAACTTTCAAGCTACTAATAAAGTAATAAAGACCCTAAAGTTAAACATTTAATACATTTTTTCAATGTCAGTCATTAAAAAAAAAAGAGCAATCAAAACCAACACAAAAATATAACAGGCCTTATAATTTCCAGACACGGCAGCGACCTGCGCCCACCAGACCTCCACAGAATGGCTACCTCAACAAGAGCTGCACGACGACAACTTCAGTTGATACGCTGAGGTGGGCAGGGGAGATGAACGAGTTTCTACCTCGAGCTTAAGAGCTAAAGGCAACCAGTGGCTGCTGATAGGAAAATCAAGTCTTCTCTAGGGACGAGCTCCCCGATAGGTTAGTCAATCCCACATGGTCAGCCCTAAACACACACACATAGCAACATTAAATGGACTTAGACATTTTATAAATGTGTGTGTGTATAACAATAAAGAGGTTATTAATTTGGATGGGGGCGATGAAGGACGGAGAAAGAGGGGTGGGATGATATACAGTCCTCCTATGAAATTCTCAATTTAAATACAAATCTACAACAGCGCTAGTTTGTGTAAGTTCAAATTCTCGAAACACCAATAACCGTCACTACTATCTGACTCTGAAAACAGCACTTCTGGTATGCAAGCTGAGGACTCACTCACCTCTGTCTAGGGAGGCCTTGTTCAAGACAAGCGCATCTTCAATGTCATAGCCACTGTAACTCATCACAGCAACGGTTGCATTCTGTCCAGCTGGCAATTTCTCAAAATCTATCAACTCAATGGTCTTCGTTTTAACCATGGGTTTCTGTGGATATGCCAGTAGATACATAAGTGTATCAATTCTGTTTCGCTGGTTGTATCCAATGGTACCTTTATTAATATTGAAGAAAACAAAACCAATCATTATATCCTGTAGAATAATCAGGTAGCATTGAATTTAAATACATTAAATTTGCTTAACTGAAATACAAAAGTAATACCCATATGGCAGCCATTGATTTCGAAAGCAACTTTTCTCCCTAATATTTAAAATCCCAGAAATATAATCAGAGTAATTACAATCTAAATCATTTCAACTTTTGGGACTTAATAGACACAATTGATCCCACTTGCACAAACTTAGTTGTTACTGGTTAATTTTACAAGTTCAGTACATGAACCTATACTTGGTTCTGTTCAGACGATGTGAGAACAACACCGAGTCTTCACATGCAGGAGCTTACACAGCACAACGAAAATATGCAACTAATGTCAGCAAAGGTTTTCAGTGAAAAAGAAAGGCAAAGAGGAGGAATGGACGGAAGAAAGAAGAATTCAACTGGAAGCAGAGAAGCATGGACTTGTTAATTTGATATTAGGAAGCAGCAAAAACAAACAAACAAACAAACACACAAACAAACAACAACAACAACAAACCATCTACCTACACCAAACATGAGGAACACTTGGTGAAATGTCAGGTCCCCTCTTCCAAGGAAGTGAGGACAGCCTGGTTAGGATGAGGAGTGAGGACAGTCTGGTTAGGATGAGGAGTGAGGACAGCCTGGTTAGGATGAGGAGTGAGGACAGTCTGGTTAGGATGAGGACATAGCCTGGTTAGGATGAGGTGTGAGGATGGAATCTGGTTAGGATGAGGAGCCGTCTCACCTGACAGTCCTTAGAAGTACGTGTTACTGGGCACTTGTCATCTACAAGTGAAATCTGAACTTGAACCCTACAGTGGGTTTCATGGTTTTCCTGAGGTAGAGTCTTTCCATGTTTTGGGCTCATGGGCACACAGTTGATTTTAAAACAGAGATGTTTACACTAGGAAACTAAAACCTGCCCCATGGTAAGATCATTTGGGGGCTACTGAATCCCCTGAACTTGTGAGCACTTCTTCACTGAGGAGTGACTGAGGAGATGAGGTGTCAGCATTAGCAGATGCTTTGCTTGTCCCACGCATGGGCCCTAAGTGCTACTGTGTGGAGCTGAGCCAAACTCTGTATTTGATCTCCTCTAACTTCTGCATCTTTGTTATTAGATCACCTGCCTTCCATCCCCATCACTACCTCCCCCCACCAAAAAAATCAACAGCAATCTTAAATCAAGACTGAAACCAACTACTTGAGCAGCAAAAAGAAAAAAAGATTTGTCACTGCCTGACAATCACCACCAAAGGTAACAAACAAGGGCCGAGCTGGAGGGAGGCGTCGCAGACTGGAGAGCTCATTACGGTTGCTCGGGAAATGTCAAGTGAATCAAAGTGAAGACCTTGTGCTTCTTAACAGTGCGTATGTATTTGTGCTCAAATCTCTACAAAACTTACCAAAAATCAGCTGAAAAACAAGTGTCAAATTGAACCTTGTGGCCCTTTGGTTGAGTTTGCACTAGGAATTGCAATTTGTGTTCTTTTAGTGACAGCGAATCGGCTGGACAAGAAGGTGACAGTGACCACGTGCTGCTTTAGGAAAGACTAGTGCTGCTGGGACCGTGACTCGGTTCCCGGACAATAAGTTTACGACTTTCTATGAAACCACTTAAAATGTATGCTGTGCAGTTTACTCGGCGTGAGCTGAGGATTCAGGCAACGTCCCACCAGGCTGCCAAAACATGTCTTCGGAAACTGAGACAAGCATTATCGTGCAGCGGGAAACATAAGTGGCCGTGTCCCTCAACAATGGCCACAGAGCCCGATCCCGCTGTACACTGTGCTCTCAAGCGCAGAACGTGATTCTCAAGCATTACTGCTGACCACAAATGGAGAAACAGCAGGATCATTTAGCACATCTGGGGTTATGATTCATCGGAGATTTTTCTTTAAAAAACTTATGTACTATACTTATATACAGTATTTTTGGAAGCATAATGGATGTTTATATTAAAACAGTACATATAAACTAAATTTCTATACCACAGATTCTTACAATGCCATCAAATCCTTATAATTTTTTTCTAAAATGATGAATATTTGTCCAGAAGGGTTTTGTTTGAGAAAGTATCTGGAGAAACTGAGTCAAGCGGCTTGCCTATGGGAGCACAGGCTCAGCTAAAATGGCCTTCCTACTGCTTCCGTCTCCTTCCGGAGCACTGCAGGACTGGGCTGAGCTCAGAGGCTGTGCCGGCCCGGCACACACACGGCACTCACACCGCTAACACAGAAGGCACCTACAGGCTGTGCTGTACCTCTACGGCCCCATTTCTCTGTAACCATTGTCTCCAGTGACGCCCTTCGCTTACTACAGGACACGGTTTTTCTTACTGAGCCACATTTTCCTGATAACTTCTGTAAGTTATCAAGGGGCATACAACATATACACATGTATGTTAAAACAGGGACAAGGTTATTTAAGGTGAGATGGAGCTGGGCGGTGGTGGCGCACGCCTTTAATCCCAGCACTCGGGAGGCACAGGCAGGAGGAACTCTGTGAGTTCGAGGCCAGCCTGGTCTACAGAGTGAGTTCCAGGAAAGGCGAAAAGCTACACAGAGAAACCCTGTCTCGAAAAAAAACAAAAACAAAAAACTAAAACTTGAAGAAGAAGAAATGTAATATCTTGGAGAATGTAAGATTAAAGGTGGGATTAAAGGTGCCACCACGCCTGGCTTTTGTTTGTTTGTTTTGTTTTCCAAGTTTTAGTTTTAGCTCTTATGTTTAGGGTATCATTCATTTTGTATTAATATTTTTATGATATCAGATAGGAATTGATACTCACTTTTTATATATAGATATACAAAATAAAATATATTTAGTCGAGAATTTTTTTTCCCCAATGAACTGTTATGACACTTTCATTAAAAATCATTTGTCAGGGCTGGAGACAGCTCAGCAGGAAAGAGCGCTTGCTGCTCTTCCAGAGGACTGCAGCTCAGTTCCGAGTGCCACACCAGGAAGTCACAACCGTGGGTGACTCCAGTCCTGGGGCTGACGTCTGTGGGCACCCGCACTCTCAGGCACATACTCTCCCCCTCCCACACGGTGCACGCATTAAAAACACTCTTAAAAAACCCAAACATTAGTTATAAAGATGACTTAGTGCTTCAAAATGGGGGATAATGACTGTAAAGAAATTCAGACCAGAGCCGGGTGTGTTGGCGCACACCTTTAACCCTGGCACTCGCTTGGCAGAGGCAGGCGGATCTGCACGAGTTTGAGGCCAGCCTTGTTTACAGTGAGTAAGCCAGGTGGGGATACCCAGTGAGACCCTGTCTCAAATAGGGGAGAGAGAAGGAAAACCAGCTGCTTATCAATGCTTGCACCTCTTTCTCAACTGTTAATTCTGTTCCATCCAATCACACACCTACCTTGGACTCACTGTCTTTCTTGTTGAAGCTTTAGAATAAACCAGAATCAGGTTGCATGACTTCTCCAGTTTACTCTTCTTTAGCTTCAAACTCCCTCCCTGCCTCCCTTTGTGTGTGCGCATGTGTGTCGTTACGCGTGCATGTGTGTGTATGGAGGCCACAGATTAATGCTAGATTTTTTTTTTCTCAACCATTCTCCACTTTGTGCATTTGTTTTGAGACAAATAAATACCTCATGATATAACCCTGCTGGCCTGAAACCCACGGAGTTCTATGTGACTCCGTCTCCCAAGTGTTGAAATTAAGGACCTGTGCTACCTAATCCAGCTCTGTATTAGAGTCATTCATCTACCCACCCATCCATTCATTTATTCATTGTTTCAGAAACATTTATCAAGTATTTACCATGCCACCCACCAAGCTGGCTGGGCGCAAGGACACATTAATAAAGTACGTTCCTGTCTTCAGTGAGTTTATAACCTATACTGTAGTATAAAAGCCAGCCTGATTAGGGCCACAAAAGTCCAGGAAATATGGAAGGACGTGAGTTTTTGTAGAGAAGAACTTCAGTAAATCTTATAAAGGAGATCCCATAAGAGATATAATGCACCATGGTGTAAGCTATTCAACCACTCTGGAATTCAGCTTTCTTGTCAGAAAAAAAGGCATGCCTCACAGATTGTTACCTCGCCTAAAAAACAAATGCGTGTAAGAATTTGGAGGTCTGGGGACAGGTCAGCAGTAGAGCACGTGTTTGACATGAATGAGGCCCTGGGTTCTCACCCCAGACTGAACTCAGACTGAAGCTGTAACTTCCCATCACTCTCAGGGGAACCACAGAAGCCGACCCCAGGAACCTCACCCCCTGAGTGAGTCTAGCACGGAATGCAGACACGGTGCTTGAAGCTCCGGAGAGACCCGAGATAATACGGAAGCATTTCCGTCAGGAACTACCACACAGACCTACACCCAGAAGAGGTGCAGTGATTAAAAAACCTTACTCAACAGAATTTAAAGAGTCCTCATGAATAACTGGCGAAGGCTTTCCCCTCCATTTCTTAGAACTAAACAAGCAAGTAGATAGTTTTATGAGGATTCTTGAACATTATGTGCTTTAAATATCTCAATTTCAGGACATCCCATTCCAGTTTAAACACAGGAGGAAATGGTCTTAGAGACAGATTCTGCTGAAGACAAAAAGAGAAGTCGTCCCAGCTCCTGAGTTTTTTTGCTGTTTTTGTTTTGTTTTAGTCCAGCAATCTGGAGCTGATGGGGGAGGGGCTGGAGGAAGGCCACGATGCATATTCATTAACTTGCTGATAGAGACTGAGGGATCCTTTAAGGAGAAAGTGTTCCACTAGAGGACTGCCAGCTAGTAAGAGGCAGGACTGAGAAGGAGAGGCTGAGCTCAGCCTTGCGAGCTAGCACGAGCGAGCGCATCCCACCGCTCCAGCCCACAGCCAGTGCCCAGAGACCTGGAGCCCAGAGACCTGGAGCCTGACCGGTGGTTCCAGATGTCTACCTGACTTTCTCTCCTGAAAGGTCAGGACACCGGCAACCACACCCACAGAAGTGAGAGGGTCTCAGCAGCACAGAGAGATGCCATGTGGAGACTCACACTTTACTAGTTAAGGTGTCCGCCATTTAAGAAGCCTTTGCAGGCGGCTTGTGGGACTGAGTTCCTGTGGTCGCACAGGTCCCGGTGCACTTCTCTGTAGAAGAGAAGAGGAGTTTCTGTGTTTTACTCTCTGAGGGGGCAGGGGGTGCTGAAAGGGCAATGGGGTGGACACACAAATCTCCAGGCTGGCTAGAGTGTTTAGTGAGCCAGCTCTGGACTAGTAAGTCTCTTTCACTTTCTACATGACTAGCAGACAAACAACAAGGAAAACACTACTTTGGAAAATCCCAAGGTTAAAACAGTCTTCAGCAATGTGCCCTCTTTACAGTGGCTTTAGTTCCTAGCTGCCGGGACTCAGGGAGCTCAACTGATGCAGAGCAGCCCTGCTCAAAGGGCCGGGCCTGCCTGGGACCTGGGCCTCTGATGTGCCTCTCTCACTGACCTTTTCCGTCTGTCTTTCACACAGACCCTGCTACTCCTGCAGCTACCTCGGCATCTGAAGGGGAATGTGGCCAAGCCGTGAGCCAACTTGAGATGCACTTCTCTCGGCCCTCCTTCCCAGTCAGGTGTGTTTTATAATAACAAACAGTACAAAGGCATTTTTTTTTTTTATGACTTAAGATATTCAGCAGCTTTTGTCTTGCCGGCGTCAGCAGTAACGTCAGAGGATTGTATCCAAGGAGCTAACTGTGCAGGACCCAGGGTCAGAGCAGCTGAATACACCAACCTCAGAAAACACAGACAATGAATTGCAAATGACACTCAGAACAAAACGAGGAAAAACCCTTCACACAGAAGACTACAAAAGAACTCCCCAGACACTGAATCGGCTTTCTGTGCACACTGATCCTGCCCGACTGTGTGTGGTAACTAGCCCAACGTTTCAGACGTGGGGCCGCAAAATAAAGGCTGTGTTTTGTTTGTTTGTTTTTGGTGGGGAAGTTTGTGATAAAAACAATTTCCCCCTCCCTTAAGTCTGTTCTTTATTTTTAAAACAGTTTCACTAGCTGGAGATGGCCAGTGCTTCGGTTTGTATCTCCAAACAAAACAAGCGGCATTGGTGAGGCAGTGATTAGTCTCGTGTTAATTCTGCTGAAGGTCTCCACAAAAGGTGTATTGTTTCAGCAGGGATTCACATCACCAAACAAAGTGGTCTGGCAAACCCCAAAAAAGTGACAGTCCTTCCGTGACGTCCGGTGCTGTCTGTGGAAACTTGTGAGCAAGCAGGAGCCCGGGCAGGACATCAGACTGCACACCGGGGTGATGGGAAGTCAAACGGATGAGCCGCTCTTCAGAGCTGCCCACTGGGAATTATTCCAGACTGGCCACCATCACAGCATTCAGGTAAACGGTGGTGGGACACCATGCCTTTCATTTCTCCACAGCCAGGCAAAGGGCACAGAGAACTCAGGAAGATGTCTCCACACTTCCTGTCTGTGGTGAGCAAACAGACTTTCCTAAGGCCAGCTGCAGCTGGAAGAGGGACATAGGCTGAGCATGGCAACACAGGACCTTCCTCTCTGTGTTCACAATGTTGAAAATGAAGCTCCTGTAGCCCCTGAGATTAGAAATGATACGTCTTAAGGGGAGTGGAAATTCATTAAGAGGACTAGGATTTGAAAACCACTTTAAACAAGTCTCTAAGTGAGATTGTTTGTGGGGTGGACTCCTCAGACTGCTCCCCTGGGTCATATGATTCTCCGTGTAGTGTATACTCTCCTCCACATCGATCTGTCTTCTTCCCACAAAGATACACCATGCAGCAAGGCTCCCGTGAAATGCTTGCTCCTATTTTCTCTTGGAAAGATGCTTCCCTTCCAAGAACCCTTCAATGTGGTTCCAGCTTTGCATGGCCTCTTCTCCCTCTCCACCCCCAGATCCTGGAGAGGTTTGATCTGCTGGTCCTCCAGGTGCACTGAAACTCCTTCCCAGAGAGCTCTGTCTGCTGTCTGTGTTCAGGCTCCTCCCGCCCCACCTGACTGCCAGCCTTGCTCAGCAAAGGTTACGGATGTGTGGACAGGTAGATAAATTATAGGAAGACAAGAGAAAGGGAAGGAAAAGGATTGGAAACTGGTGTGTAAGCTTTAGGAGACAAAACAGCAGAACGGGACAAGTCTGTGGCTATCAGTAAACCTCCCCCTGCTTCACTTTCCACTGCTCCGCTCCTTCATACACCTTTCCTGGTCAACTTACACTTCCGGGGCTTTGATGTTTACAGTCACTCACAATTACGGGAAATGTATTATGTGCTTCCTTGTTGGCTAAGGAAACAAGCTGAGATCTGCATTTATTCAAGCAAAAGACAGGGCAGGGATCCCGCAGGCACCTGGGCTCCACGGGCCCTTGAGCTGGGTTGGCAACATCTGATTTGTCCAAACACACACTAGTGAGAAGAAAGATGGAAGTCTCTTTCCAAATCGTGTAGACGCGGGTTAAAGGCATCTTACCCATGGCTTGCTTGCCCATGGCACACTGGTAGGTGTTCCTTGGAGACTGGTTATGATGCGGGTATGGGATGAGGCCAGCACAAACACCAAGAAGAGTGAAGGGTTCAATCTCCAGGTGGGTGGTATCTCTAGCAAGTCAATGAAGAAGAGTTAGGCAGTTTAAGCACCAAGTACTAAATCAGTATCTGTTTAAGGATATAAAGATGACTGCTTCCTAGGTCCACAAGGGACTTGCAAGACAATACACTTGGATGCTAGTGAAACTGCTAAAATCAAAACATACTGAAATAAAGAGATGAAACCTAAGAATTTAAACTCTTCTGTGATAAAAATTCTTACCAGTGATGGAAATAAAAGAAGGGAGACAGTGTAACAGTGTCTATATAAAAATAAAGTGACATGATCCTACACACTACCAACGGTATACTACAGACGGGAATTTCTACACCAAACACAGAAGGATGGTGCACTGCTGTCCATGGGCGAAGCCTGCTTTCCCTTCTATCAATAAGAAGTCTGCATCACTGTGTGGGGTAGGAAGAGATCTCTTTGAAAAATGAGTCACTGCAGACCTGTGCAGACCAGTGGTGGTCATTAGCTGATGGTGCCTACTGAGCAGTTGAAACATTAGGCTACTAAAGAACTAAATTTCATATTTTACCCAATTTTAATGGATTTAAATTTAAATTAAATAACTCAGTTTCTTATTTTAAACTGTTATTATATTTCAAACAATTTATATTTGTGAAACTACCTATTCAACTGTGAAAGGTCTACCAGATTTAGCATTTCTAATGAAATTTGACTATAGGTATATATAATATTTTAAAGATTTACAATGGGAAGAATGTAAAATATCTCATTAAAATGTCCATCATGATGACACAGTATTTGACACAGTGGGCTCACAAAAATATTAAAATTAAGGGCTGGGGATAGAGCTAGGTGGTCAAGAACCTATCTAGCACTTGTGAAGCCCAGATTCAGTCCATCACTCATTATTTTCCTGTTCATATGGCGACTAGAAATCTGTATGTACTGGTGCCTCAAACTTCGTTCTTACAGGATAGGTTTGTTATAGATATCTAATAGGTGTCTTCTTACTTCATAATACATTTCTGCAGAAAACTCAGGTTGGGGCTAAATAAAAAAATAGCTAGGATGTTTTCATGGGAGAGAGCAGCCAGAGTATGCAAGGGTTTTTACTCAAAGTAACACATGTCATATTCAGGATACATGCCACACAGTGATTCTGTGTTCCTCACCCAAGGGTCCATGCAATATAACCTTAGCCATTTCAAAGGTTCACAGCACCTGAGAGGAGAGGAGATTCTAGGAAACCAGGGCCCCACCTGTGGGAGCCCATTTTCGGGTTCCTCGTGGCTTTACCCAGCATGTCCGCATAGAGGATGATTAGGACCATGGGCCTGAGTGCAGGTGTCTGAGATGGTCTGCACTTGGCTGTGCTGGGGAAAGGTCTTTTGCTCCACCCCTTTGGCGTCTCTGTAAATACCCTGGGGCAGAGACAGTTGGGGCCGTTGGAATAGGTTCCAGGCCCTCTTGAGGCTATCCTTTATTTTCTATCTGTTTATCTCCGCAAGACGCTCCGCTATAAATCCTTCTATCTAATATTTCCTGCTGCTCACACTCAAGAAAACTCTGGGGAACTGTGGGGTTGGTGGGTAAATGCCCCACAGAATGGCGCCATGAACAGGGACTAAAGAAAAAAAGAAAAAAAAAGGGACTAAAGAAAAAAAAGGGGGGGACTAAGACAAATGAACAGGAACTAAAAACAAAGTAATAGGGACTAAAGATAAAAGAAAATAATAGTTTTATTACAGAGTTTTGGCGAAAGTGCTGAGTCAGTCCTGCCAGTGGAAAGTGGCATGCCAGTGTTATGGAAAATTTGAGGGGCAGGGGTTTTATCCTCGAGAGAAAAGGAAAGTGGACCGGAAGGAAGTGAGATGCTGCAGTGCAAAATTCTCTTCTGTCAAAATGTTCTATCTTCTATCCCTTTCTCAATTTCTATGTGTGAAAAATAAGTATAAGGTATAGGGTAGTAATATAGTGTAGAAAAACTTAGAAGTGTAAGATCGTGCAGAAAAAAAATAAGTAAGGCAACTAGACAGAAAAACTCTCCAAATTTTTAACTTTGGGGGCTATGAACACAAACTGGGGAAAATCTAAGAGTTTAAGTGTCAGTTCCAATGAAAAATTGAAAGGATACGGAACTAGGTGCTTCGCGGTTTGGGGCTCCATTGGTAAAATGCCTTATTTACCCTAATAGCTGTGCAAAGATTTTATGGTAGTTGTGTGACAAAAAGCTACCTTTAAGAGCAAACAAGCCACTTTAAAATCCTTAAGAAAACAAGGGAAAGCAGTTTATACACTGAACGTTGTCTTAGCTATGAAGAAGCTTATGTGAAATTAAAAATTATTTACCTCTTGAACAAACAGCCTGCAATGAGTGATTCCTTTGCAAATCTAATTAAGGGGATAAGAAACAAGCATTCAAAAAGAAATGACTGCTATATAGATGGGAAACAAACTTCAGAAAATCTAGCTGTCTTACGAAAGAGTTGCTTCACCTGAAAGTTCCTTATAAGAAATCAATGCTAAATATCACAGCTGCTAATAACATCAGGAATCAAAGCTAATGAAGTGAAAATACTAAATCCTGAAAATGCTTTTTCACAAAGTAAGCTAATGAAAGAACATCTATGTTCTTGACTCCTTTGAATAGTAACAGTATTGGTGAAAATGTTGGAATTTAACAATCAAAATGTTTCAACACAAAGTCAAAATGTTTCAACAAATTCAAGATGATGTTCACAAAAGAAAGCTGCCATGCTTTGTGGGCCATATTAGAGCTCAGTCTCATCTTCCTTGTCCTTTAGCTAAGGATAATGCAATGGCTGATAAGTTAACAAAGATTAGTAGCATTATCCCAAGTGGAAATGGCTCAACAGTCACATGCTCCTCATCAAAATAGCAAAAGTTTAAGAAAGCAATTCAATCTTGCCAAAGCAGCAGCTCGTCAAATAGTTAAATGATGTGGGGTATGTCCAAAATATTTTCCTGTTCCTCACTTAGGGGTAAACCCTTGAAGTCTTCTTCCCAATCATCTATGGCAAATGGATGTTACACATATTGCAGAATTTGGCAAATTAAGATATGTACATGTGATCATTGACACTCATTCAGGATTTTTAGTGGCTAGTGCACAACCTGGGGAAGCTACAAAACATGTAATTATGCACTGCTTGAAGTGTTTTTTGTATATAGGTATACCAAAAATTATTAAAACTGATAATGGTTCTGGATATAGTAGTAAGGCATTTCAACAATTTTGTACCCAATGGGAAATTGTACATAAAACAGGTATTCCTTATAATCTTCAGGGACAAGATCTTGTAGAAAGGGCTCATAGCAGTCTTAAAATACAACTTCAAAAAATAAAAATCAAAAAGGAAGAAATTTACCCTCAATCGCCACATAATGCATTAAATCATGTTCTTTTTGTTCTGAACTTTTTGAATATGGATGTCCGTGAGCAGTCTGCGGCAGATAGATTTCGGCACAGTGGCACCCAAGCGACTTTGGCTCAAGTGAAATGGAAAGATCCCTGCTTGGGGATTATGGAAGGGTCCCGATCCTGTTTTAATATGGGGTCGAGGACATGTTTGTGGTTTTTTCATAAGAGGAGAATGAAGCTCGGGGGTTACCGGAGTGTTTCATAAGGAGCGTGAACTAAGAAAGGTCAGCTCTAATGACGTTCCTATGAAGGAACCAGAATGAAAATGGCCCGATTAGTGTTTCTGAGGTTTTGTCACTGATTAATGCAAACAGTGAGGAAATAGAGTTTGGAGCTGTGCTGCTTTTGGCTTTACTAGCTCCTTTAGAAAAATACTTTATATCACCTAATAGCTGTGCAGTATTTGGCGAAGAGCTTTACAGCAGCTAAATATGGTAATTTCACCCTCAGCATGAAGTGAAGTTTTTCCTTAGAGCAAACCAAGAGTACTGCTGTAATAGAAACATTTGCCTGAACTGAAGCACTTAGGGGAGCTATTATGAATTTGGGTGAAGGGACAGCCTCTAGTTAAAAACTGTTTACTGCTGACAGATTGCATCTCTGCCAGTTCGGAGAGGCTGAGAGAACTCGGCAACTCTGGAGTGTGGCTTCATCCTGGGAAGGTTACAATCCCCTAGCAACAACTATCACAATTTTATAACAACAACACTCACTAAATCCCAGTGCTTTATAGCAAAGCTGACTATAAACTCTAAACTTTAGAAATGATGTACGTACTTCCTGTCTAGTTAAGAGAATCTTTCTAATAGAGGTAGTGATGATAACTAAGAGTAAAAAGTAGAAAAAGATGAAAATAAGATATGTGAGTTTGTAGAAATTATTCTCTTGTTAGATCTGTGTTATGAAATCTTTAGGTGTTTGCTAAGTTAAATATATGCTAATGGTAGCCCTATATAAGTTTGTAAAATAGATCCATAGAGTTCTTTTAAGAATATAAGCTTGCAAGAAATATCTAAGGTAGTCCTAAGACATGTAGTAATAAGCTTGTAAGAAGTAAAGATACCAGTTGTAAATGTAAGTTTAAATAAGAAATAAGATAAGTAATAAGAAATATATTTGCGAAAGTAGTTCTATAGTTTCCTTAAAGAGTATAAATAAGTAGATGTTAATGTTATATGTGAGTTTGTAAAAATGTGTAAATGTTGACTGTGAGTTTATGCTTAAGCACATATTATATGTGAGTTTGTGAAAAAATTAAATGTTGATTATGAATCTATGTTTAATGTATATGGTGAAAGAACCTGAGATACAGCTGTTAGTGTGCTAGCAGACTACAAAGCAGGCAGTCTGAGCAGTTTCCAAAAGCTCTAGAAGCCGCTAAGAATGGCAGATGCCAGAACCAGCACAACAAGGCATCCGCAGCTGAGATCCATGGAAAATCAACGCAACACAGAAAAACCTGAGCTAACATCAAAATGATGTGGTTTAGAATACTACTGTACCTAAAAAGGTCTCTGGCTTGAGAATTAAAGTTGCAGAGATGCTTGTTTGAACTAAAATTGTTAACTGCAAAAAGTTTTGGTTGTAAAACATCTCTTCATAGTTGGAAGTGAAAGCCTGATACCAAAATTTACTTTTTTGAACTTTTTGAACTTAAAATGAGATAAAACTACAGAAAGACTTTGGTTATGAATTTCTTCATATTTGGAAGGCTAGTACCAGAATTTACCATTTGAATTTTGGTACTTAAAAAATGAAAAGAACAATAGAGATTTCATTGCAATGGGATAATTTTGAGTTTACTTATAGTAATGATCTAGGAACTGTTTTCTGGAATTGGGTTAAAAATGGAACTATTTAAATGAAGAAATTTATTTCTACCTAGACTAAAGATGCAATTTTGTGTATGTATATATGCTTTATTAACTGGTGATTCATGAATTGTTTTGTGGAACTGTTTATGTAAAAATGGAATTACTTATGGAACTAGTTTTGTGTTAAAAATGGAACTGTTTAAACAGAAAAGTTTGGGTTTTCTAACTAGGCTTGAGATTTTGCTTAAAAAAGTTACAAAGAAAAGGGAGAGTTAATAGTCCTTAGTCTATTTAATTTAAAATATGTTCTTGTTTGAGTGGATTAATGTCATGTTTTGTGAGTAAGAAATGTAAATGGGGTATACTAAGAGACTACTTTGTTTAAAAAAATTATAAAGAAAAGGAGGAGTTATGAGTGAATTAAGGTTGAATTATGTTTGCAGAAATTATGTTTAACCTATTGATATTAATGCACCCTGGTTTTGTGGAGTTAAGGAAATATTTAAGTTTTATGAATACATCGAAGTTTTTCCTATATTCTGTTAGCAAGAAAATTCAAATGATTAAGAGGTAAAGTTGTAAGACGGAGAAAATTGTTAACTATATATAGCACCATATGTAAATTCAAATGGTTCTGTTAAGAATTTGCTGTGTGTTGTAAGACTGGGAGAATTGTGACTATGTGTAGCAATATTTATGTTAACCTATTAATGGTAATGATGAAGCTAAAGGATTCTTTAAGTTTATAGTTGCCTTAAGTTTTTGGTTTAGAAAGGGCTTGTGGCAGCTAAGACTGCTGTAGTCACCGTGGACCTAATTCAAAAGAGAAATGCCATCTTTATCACCCTCTACTCCCATACTGGGAGGTGTAACAGCTATGGAGATTGCTGTAAGCCATTAATAGTTATTTTTTATATATTAAGAAAGGGGGACCTGTGGTAGCCCGTTTTCGGGTTCCTCGTGGCTTTACCCAGCATGTCCGCATAGAGGATGATTAGGGCCACGGGCCTGAGTGCAGGTGTCTGAGGTGGTCTGCACTTGGCTGTGCTGGGGAAAGGTCTTTTGCTCCACCCCTTGGCGTCTCTGTAAATACCCTGGGGCAGAGACAGTCGGGCTCGTTGGAATAGGTTCCAGGCCCTCTCGAGGCTATCCTTTATTTTCTATCTGTCTATCTCCACAATCTAAATCCTTCTATCTAATATTCCCTGCTGCTCACACTCAAGAAAACTCTGGGGGATTGTGGGGTTGGTGGGTAAATGCCTCGCAGAAGAACAGCATTTTCCTTAGGATCTAGCAGAACCTGAGATGTGATCAGAACCTTTGTCAGCCAAGTGGGAAAAGATCTAGGGGATTTTTGTTTTAAGAAGCAGAACTTAAAGCTGAATTCTCTAGAATGAAACAGTTTTGTTAGGGGATGTGAATTAGTGATAGAGAACTTGACTAGCACATTTGCGGTCCTGGGTTCAATTCCTGGTATTGGAAAAAAGCAAGCAAAACCAGAATTTCCTTAAGTACAATGTTTTGCCTAAATACTAGCCAGGATGAAATTCTATAACAAAAAAAAAAGCATTTGTAAGATATAAAGATTGAGTTAATTTAAAAAAAAAAGGAAACACAGCTTTTTCTTTTATCACAAACAGTGACATAAGATTATATAGCCCCTCATAATAAATATTGAACATCTAAATGCTCTGAATTTTAGTTTTTATGAAAAAGAAAAATAATTTCCTTTAAAATCATAACCACTGTAAATTTATCCTGAACAGCAATTAAGAGATTTTACTACATGTAACACACTTACATTTACTTAGCACACAGTAAACAGCCAGCGCTGGGTACTGTGGGACATGGACTCTTATGGGGTGGGGAAGAACGCAGGTTCAGTCTTTTCATCGAGGCGGGGTCTTACGGAGCACAGGACAGAGTGAAGATCACTAGGAATTTCTGATCCTGTTGCCGCCACCTCTGGAGTGACAGGATTACAGGCATGTACCACTAAACCAGGTTTTAATTTTAACTTTAATTTTTTCGAAACAGGATCTCACTTTGTAGCCCTGGCTCTTCTAGAGATCTGCCTGCCTCTGCCTCCTGGGTGCTGGGCTTAAAAGTGTGCGCCCTGCTAAAGGCAGGTGCCATTAGGCCTGATTTACTGGGTGCTGGGGCTTGTGTGCGGTGCTTTGTGTACATGCGTTGTATATGCTACGCAAGCACTCTGCCAAGTGGGTTACACCCCAAGTCTGAGTTCATTTTTTAAATTTTATGGACATCTACATTAAAAAACACATCTAGACTATGAATAAAACAATAGAATTATATTTTAAAATGAATTTGATCAAAACAGTATCTTGGCGACTGGGTAAACAAACCCCTGCTTTATAAGGCCCTCCTGCAGGAAGATATGCAGCACACAAACGAGTCAGTAAAACACGGACTTTTATTCCATGGCCCTGAGCACCAGCAGTGAGGAAGGCAAAGACATCCGGGTGTTTGTTTATAAGGGGTCCTCAGAGCCACACAACAAAGTGACCCGACTGCAGGTCTGAAGGAGGCCCGGGGAGGCCCAGGAGCCATTCCGTGTTCAAGGTGAAGAGAGGCCAGTACGGCTGACAGTGGGTGAGGGGAGGCGAATGCAGACAGCACAGGGAGAATGAGTGTGAGCCAATGTCGTAAGAGCTTCTGAGAGACAGGAAGGCTGCGGGGGACAAGCAACCGCAGCCTCCTGGACGCAGCGGAAGATGGGTGGGGAACCACGGACAGGTGAGAGCAATCAGGGCTCAGGAACCACAAAGCACTGATCCGTCCCCACACGTGCTGCAGGCTAGACATGGCAGGGTGCACACCTGCCATCCCAGAACCTCAAGACAGGCACATAAGAGTCTCTAAGATCGAGGCTAGCCTGGGCTACACAGTAAGTTCCAGATCAGTCAGGGCTACATAATGAGACGCTGTCCCTAAAACAGAGTCTACTACAAAACAGTTCTTTTATATTCCATCTTGTAATGTGGAGTATAGAGTAATTTGAAAAGCTCATCACCTAAAGGTGTGAAAATCCTGACTAAAAAGCATAATTTATCAAGTTGTAATACAAACATACATTTCTCTGGTAGCAGAAAGAAGGAAATTACTTGTTTGTGGTTGGAGATATGAACAGTTATCAAGTATGAGTATTAAACTCCCTTTTAAAAATATAACTGCAGAAATTCCGTTTCAGCTAAGTGGTACATTAATGGCTGCAAAGCAAGTTGTACAGATGTCCTCTGATGTCTTCCAAATGGAACACAGATGCTTCGAGAATACCAGTGTGGTAGAAGAGATATTATGAACACACTGGCATCTCAAGTTTACACTGCACATATGCTCAGCAATATTTTTACAACATACTATGTGTGGAATTCCTACTCCAACAAGAAGATTTCAGATATCCACTGACAAAATCCTATCTAAGACAGACAAATATATATTCTGAATCCTGACTCATTAGCTCAATGTTTACTGTTTGGATATTAAAATCAGAGAAGCAATTCTTTTTAAAAGTATACTCCAAATACCACATGGTAGGAGGATTAATTCAACCTAAAGATCACTTGTGAGTGATTCTGTGGCATTTCACAGGGACAAACGACAGTTATACTTTATTACAAAACACCTCTCAGGACCTAACAGGACAGTGAAAACACACAGGACATTCTACACATGGACTTGAACTGTGGTTGTTCCAATCTTACTTACTTATTAATCGTGTGCTCGTAGAGTGCAATGTTACAATCATTTTCTTCATTCACATCTAAGTATTCAACTAGACTCTCGTGTAAAAAATCTTCGAAGTTCCTGGAAAATAGCGGTAAAGGAGACACTGAAACACTTTGCTACAGGACTGTATATGACAACAAAAGACCCTGGTTTTCATTTGTTCCCTAATTCCATTCTCCCCTAGAGAGAATCCATACAATGAGATAGCTGAAAACCACGTTTATGGGTCACAAGTCACTAAAAAGCACTTGCCAATCTGGTCCCCACTCCTAAGAACACTGACTTTAGAAACTGGTATGAGGATGAGTGTTTCCACCAGCAACAAGGCCATGAGGGGTTCCTCTGTGGAAGTAGCTAATGGAGAGTGGTTTACATCAAGGCTCTATAATCCTCAGGAGCTAAGTTGTTAAGGACTTCATCACATGCTGGCGACTGCACATGGATGATTTTTAACTGGCTGTGGTATACTTGTGGGGAGGGGTCAATAGACTGGAGATGAAAATATACTTTCCTACAGTACATATCCAAGAACGTTACTGCTGATTAAAGCATGCGAGTCCATAGTTAAAGAGATTAACAACTCCTACTTTCGATCACTTACCTGTAACCTTGAGCCAACTCTTCCATATGCTTATTTGTGACTGCCGGCTTTTGTTTCTTGACAATTATGTAAGGCCTAGGAAGGAGAAGAAGAACTTACTAGAAGAATGACGGCAGCCAGTTCTATTCACCACTGTGGAATGAGACAGGGTAGATGCAGCTTGTCCTGGAATAGACTGAGGACATACAGTATTCTCTGACACACACACACACACACACACACACACACACACACACACACACACACACACATGCACCGCTATACTTATGTGAGTATGTGTTCACCACTCAGTTTTCCTTCCAATTGTCCTAAGAATCATTTGGATTTAAATGAAAAGGCAATGTAAAGATCACAGTCACTGAAGTCTCGACAGGGCACACAGAATCTTCACGCCATACATTTTAGACTGTGTAAAGCACTACAGAAGCACCTCTTTACTTCCCACTGGGAATACTTGCTGTATAGAATTTTCCTTTACACATACTTCAGCGTTTTTGTGCTTTTGGTGACTTTAGTTTAGAGTCAACTGCGGTCTAGGAAGTTTTAAATCACGGACCCTTCTGGGCAGTGTGGTGAAATCCTGTATCACCCTGCTCCATTCTACTTGGGAAGGGAATCACCCTTTTCTCTAGGGCGTCCGTACTACACGGCACTAACAGGTCACCTGCCTGTTGGCCATTTAGGAGCAGTCTCAGTTACCAGATTCAAAGGATGGTACTTTAGAGACTGGGTACTATGGAGGGTTTTAGCCATCCACTGGGGAATCCTGGGACATATCCTCCACACAGAAGAACTGCTGTAATGCCTATGGTGTTTGCAGGCAAAGACTTGTCACTGAAGACAATAATCGCAGCTATTTTGAGAGTTCAGAGGAGACCCAGACGTTTGAGGTGGTTTGATGCATAACAAACATCACCAAAATAGACAAACAGCTCACTTGGCTGTATGTTTAGAGAACTCAGCTTCCTTACTGATGAATTATGACCGATGGGGTGAGATGGAGAGAGTACTCTGGCAGATTGACCTGTAACTGTCAGCAGTGACTTGCCTCTGCAGGAAATACCCACAAACAGAAGAGGCACGCTGCCTGGAAATGTCAAGGGCCGCAGCTATTTGGATAAGCAGCTCTTACAGGGGGGAGTGAGATGCTAGCAGACACTTGTGTGTCTGTCCTGAAGCCCAAATAAGGATGTGAAGACTAATGAGCAAGTAGAGCTGATTACTCACAAAAGGGGGCATAAGCATGAACAGGAGCTGGACGAGCTCTTCAAGGAAGTCAGCAGTACTTCAAATTCTGGCTTTCTGGTGAGGAAGCAGACCTGTTCCCGCCCCACTCCAGCTCAGGTCAAGGCTCACAAGACAGAGCAGAAACCAGAGTAGGAAGGGGAGAAGTCCCTTTACTCAATAAATTCTCCTATTCCAGCCAGATCTGTGATCTGCTATTATAAAATTACTTCTGAAAAACAACTAGCTTTATTTTAGAACATGTTTTATTATATGGATACAGTGAAATAAAGAAATTCCAAACAGGAATAGTTTAGAACATGCCACTGCTTCTCCTGCCCCTCAGAAGGTCATGTTGTCTAATACCTGCTTCCTTCCTCTTTTTAAGTCAGGATCTCAACACAGAGACCAGGGTGGACCTCAGAGATCCACCACCAGCCTCTGCCTCCTAAATGCTAGGATTAAGGTCACTGAGCCACCATGCTTGGCCTAGGCCATTTGGTAACAACTCCACATAAGCACTTACCACAGCCTACTAGCTAGTTCTTAGCCCAGACATAGGTAGGCACTACCATTTACATTTCATTCAAGAAAACCAAGCCCCAGAAAGTTAAGAATACTCACAATCACAGTCACTAAGTGGCCAGTTAGGACTCAAGCGTGGGTATCTTATTTCAGCAACACCATAAGAAAAACCAATTCTGAACAGGTTAAGCAAAAATTACTTTACTGTAAGCATTAAGAATTTGCCAGAAGGAATGAGCATCAAGGACGAGGAGAAATACTGAGAAAGATCAGGAACTGACAGCTGAGAGGATCCAGGGAGTACCGAGTAAGAGGTGATCTGAAGCTTACATCTGCCTGGGTGGGAGGCAGACACTAGCTGGATTTCGTCTGCCTGAAGGACTCCACCTGTGTGTGACAGGCACCTGAACACGCGACACGGGAACGAAAGGAGCCTCCTTTTCCAGTTACCTTCTTCATCTGCGTCTTCACACTCTCACCCCTGGCTTGCCTCATCCTTTCTCCATTTACTCTCCAAGTCCACTAGAACCTCAAAGCTCGGGAGAATACAGAGATAGAAACTCTGATTGCTGGAGTCAGGGACTTCCGGGGACTGCCAAGAAAAACCCAACTCCACTAGAACCTCAGAGCTCGGGAGAACACAGAGATAGAAACTCTGATTGCTGGAGTCAGGGACTTCCGGGGACTGCCAAGAAAACCCAACTCTACTCTACTCCAGCTCTGGGTATGCGGCCCAGCTTCACAGACCCGGCAAGTTCCTCATTAAAGAAGAAAATATTCAAATGAGGGTCTCGCACACAGCACACCCAGTAAGACAACAGACAGCATCCTCTCCTAGCACAGCTGGCTGCTACTAGTACTTATTTCTGTCTCTCCTGGCAGATAAAACTCTCTGAGGACAAAAAATATCTCCCACTGGTTTTCAAACCTCCCACTGGTCTCTAAAGTGTTTGCAACTGAATTAAATTCATCCCCAGGACAAGAAAGGTTAAAGTAGCTTCAAAACTAAAAGCAAGGCCAATTCTGCCAAAAGTTCACATGAAGAGGCTGAAGTTCTTTATAACAACATACCTGCACAACCGTCCTCCATCAGAGGAAATATAAACACAGCGGTCTGTAAGATTTGTAGAGATAGAAACAAATTCATTGATGTAGCCTGCTCTTCGCATCAGCCGAAATGTACTGACAAGCTTTTTATGGTCTCGGATGACACCTAGGATGTTGCCTAAACAGAGAAGACATGGGAGTCAGAAACAACAAATAATCTGATTTAAATTATCCATCCAATACTATTGAGAAGAAGTCATTTGAAAACAGTTAGTAACATGAAAACCAGTCCACAGACTCTAGGGAGCAGCACAAGGGTGTGCTCAGAGTCTGGGGCCTTAAAGCCCGTGGCCATCACTCCAGACACTGACTGAGGAACTCCCCAAGAGCTCGTTCACCTCACTGTCCTCAGCTGTCAGCATGGTCATGGGGACATGAGGTCCCCACCAGAGCAGGCAGGTGCGAAGCCTGGCCTAGCCAATCCGCAGGTGTCCTGTAGAGGATGAGTGCTGAGAACTCTGCCTTGTACCTGGTTCTGACACTACAGAGCCTGTGATGAACTAAGAAGCCAGGCTTCACCTCCCAGGGTTAGCATGAGAACTCAGAGGCCCAGGATGATGCGCAGACTGAGAGCCAGCCCACCATCAACTCCTGGGAACACTAACAAGGCGGGCAGCTGACCCTTCCTCCAGAGCCTGCATACAGGGCTGGCGACTCCCTGAGTGGGAGGAAAGGGGGAAAAGAAAGAGAAGAGCAGTGGCCAGAGATGAGCACACCGGACAACCTGCAGCGACCGAGTCAAAAGGAGGAAGGGCAGGGCACACTGCTGCCAGCCTCTGGGGGCTTCGAGGGAAGCAGAGTAACACATGAAGGAAGAAATGGCTATGAACCAAAGGAGCCCCATCTTGCCCCGGCTGCTGAGAAGTGAGTTGATCTCTGTGTATATTTAACTAGCTATCAACATATCACAGAAAGCTTATTCTACTATGGAGAGTTTAGCAGCTCACATAGATGGAAAGCAGTAGATGGGCCTCAGTGCTGTTCTTCTGTGTTCTCAGAATCTTGGGTACCACAGTCAAAAGATCAAATGCTTCTGTTATCACTTTCCTTCCTTTTAAATTAGTACCTACTAGAGATAGCTTCTCTGTCAGGGATGGAAGTTCGTGTCCACTGCCCTCACTCAGCGCTGAGATCCCATTTGGCTTGGATCTGTGCAAGCTATCTCCCATGACAACCAACCGCTCACAGTGAGTCTCACTGGGCATACAAACCACTGAGAGGCAGGCCCCATGCCCAGCAAGTAGACGGCCAAGACAAAAAGCTCAACAGTATTTCTGGAGATGTTTTTGTCTCATATTCCTTTGTTGGGTATTTGTGAACATACTTTGTGTTCCTATGGGTTTTGTTTGTGTGTTTGCATGTGTACTGTTTCTTCAGCTTTTTCTTTGGTTTTGCTTTATTCTAGTTTATTTGTTTTATGAGACAGAAAAAGAAGTTGTAGAGTTGGAAGGGCAAGGAGGTGGGGAGGATGTGGGGGAAATGAGGGAGGGAAACCATAATCAGAATATATTGAATGGAAAATATTTTCAATAAAAATAAAATAAAAAATAAAGGTCTATCTAGGGCCATAATTAAAGTATGTTTATAGTTTAAATACAAAAGCAATGGATTCCCTCTCTGCTCCTAAGAGATTGCTTAGGACAGTGGTTCTCAACCTTCCTAATGCTATGACCCTTTAATACAGTTCCTCATAGACCCCCAACCATAATATTATTTCATTGCTACTTCATCATTGTAATTTTGCTACTGTCATGAATCATAACGTAAATATCTGATATGCAGGATATCTGATGACCCCTCTGAAAGGGTCATTTGACCCCCAAAGGGTTTGCAAGTCACATGATGAGAACCACTGGCTTAGGAAGAACATGTCTCCCTAGCATACTTACCATTCAGGAAGACAAGAAACACATTGGGGTAAGAGAGTTCTTCGCCACATAGTAAATTCACATCTTCTACTCCCAGGTTACCAGCTAACTTAATAATAGGTCCGTCCTCCATGTCAGTTGTAATATGTGTCATAAGGGCCAAGTTTTTAACCAAACCACAGGCCTAACAGAAAACAGTCAGTCACGAATGTTAGTCATACAAAGTAGAGCTTGTATCTGAAAATGCTCAGCACTCTGTTGGCAGCAATATAAAAGAGTACAACCTTGAAAGGGACACTTGGGGATACACACACACATCTCTACCTCAAACAAATAATCTCACCTTTAAAATGTGTATATTCTTTAACCTGAGGAATTTATCCTCAGATGACAAAAAAGACATTGTCCTGGCTAGTTTATTGTCAACTTGACACATGCTAGAATTATCTGAGGGAACCACAATTGAGAAAAATGCCTCCATATGAATGGACTGCAGACAAGGCTATAGTACGTGTTCTTAATTAGTGGTTGATGCGGAGAGCCCAGTCCATTGTGGATAATACCATCCCTAGGCTGGTGGTCATGGGTGTATAAGAAAGCAGGCTGGCCAGGCGGTGGTGGTGCACGCCTTTAATCCCAGCACTTGGGAGGCAGAGGCAGGTGGATCTCTGTGAGTTCAAGGCCAGCCTGGTCTCCAAAGCGAGTTCCAGGAAAGGCACAAAGCTACGCAGAGAAACCCTGTCTTGGAAAAAAAAAAAAAGAAAGAAAGAAAGAAGGCTGAGCAAGTCAGGAGGAGAAAGCCAGTAAGCAGCATTCTTCCACCATGGCTTCTGCTTCAGCTCCTGCCTCCAGGTTCCTGCCCTGACTTCCCTCAGTGATGGAGTGTGACCTGGAAGTATAAGCCGAATAAACCCTCTCCTCCCCAAGTTGCTTAGAGTTATGGCACTTTACACAGCAACAGAAACTCTAACTAAGCTGGAGATTGGTACCAGGTCAATGGGCACTGCCATGGTGCCATGGTAGACCTGATGGCGTTTTCTGAGGACGGTCGTGGCATCTGTGCTCAGAGTTCAGTGGGCTGTTCTGTGGAAGTTTGGAAGAACACTGAGATCTATGGAGACAATGAGGCCTGGCTTGTGAGGTTTCAGAGAAGTTTGTGAGCCCCTTAAAGACTCTATCAGGGCTACTCAATATTTTGAAATAAGAACCATTAAAAGGAAACCTTTGCTTTATAGAGAAAATTGATACTGGTCAGCTGGAGCTGAAGAATCAACAGTGATTAGAAAGAGACCGCCACCATTACTGAGGATGGCAAATCTGGGCATGTTCCCTCAGGGTCAGCACACAGAAGCTGTGGTCAAGAGGGAGCCAAGGCTGGACCTTGTGCTGGCAGCCAAACTTGGTAATGTGAAGAGTTTCCCAGGTGGAACTGGTTCTGAAGACATGAAGGGTCATGGAGAACAGCTGGGGCTCGGCACTGTGAGAGGCCAGGGGAGGCCACTGGTGGATGCCCCAAGAATGAAGGGGCTACGGAGAGATGAGGAGGCTCGGCACCTCGCGTCAGGGTCAGAGTCCTTGAAAAGATCATGGCAGAGGCTGCTGGTGAGGGTTCAGCCTCCTCACAGTGATTAAAAACCCTAAGATAGACTGAAAACACAAATTTAGCTATGGATGTTGGCTGAAGCAATCTCTGGAAAATTTAAATACTTCAAAGTTCATAATGTATACATTTGGAAACTACGTAAGTTTAATGTGAATTTCCTTACAGTTTGAGATAAATTTGAATTTTTCTAAAAACCACAGCCTGTTTAGACATATAATTTTCACTTCTTTTGAATCCTAACTGTGGGGCGTTTACCCACCAACCTCACAGTTCCTCAGAGTTTTCTTGAGTGTGAGCAGTAAGAAATATTAGATAGAAGGATTTATTGCAGAGATAAACAGAGAGAAAATACAGGATAGCCTCGAGAGGGCCTGGAACCTTTTCCAACAGGCCCCGACTGTCTCTGGCCCAGGGTTTTTATAGAGACGCCAAGGGGTGGAGCAAAAGACCTCCTCCCCCAGTACAGCCAAGTGCAGACCATCTCAGACACCTGCACTCAAGCCCATGGTCCTAATCATCCTCTATGTGGACCTGCTGGGAAAAGCCACGAGGAACCCGAAAATGGGCTCCCACACCTAACAAATTCCTACACTTTGAACCCCTCACCTTTCCCTTGTTATAAACGTTTTTTCATTCATTGTGTATTTGCAGGGCCTCTACTGTACGAACCTGGAGATACAATAGTGGACTACCTTCCTTCAATACCTGGAGATGATACAGTGGTGGTCCACCCTCCTCCATTACCTGGAGATGATACAGTAGTGGTCCACCCTCCTCCATTACCTGGAGATACAGTGGTGGCCCACCTTCCTCCATTACCTGGAGATACAGTGGTGGACCACCCTCCTCCATTACCTGGAG